CCCAGGCCAGGCCAGAAAGAAGCTGGACCTTCTGCTCAGCTCCACCCTTGGAGCAATAGTATGACCTGATTGGCGTGGGGTGGGGGGGATAAAAATGACATGAGAGGAGACGGACAATTTCCCAGAGGTTTAGCACAGGCCAGAGGTGTTGATTGAAGAGTAAACTGGCGTGAGCACACACCCAACCCAGTAACCATCAACAACACATTGCCCATGTCTCCCTTGGGCACAGAGGCAGGGGCAAGGCAAAGAATCAAGTCCATTATGTGTGGTCTTCTGTCTGTTTCCCCCTTCTGCCACCTGGCAGGGCCTCACCTGCGTTCTCCTGGATGCAGGTAACAGCCCCTCACTGGCCTCCCTGCTTCTGGGACACAACCCCCCTCCACCTCCATCCCCGGCACTGTGCAGCCTTAGACTGATGCCCTCACACCCGAAACGCAGCAAGCACTGACTACACGGTAAAGCTTTCCAGGGGCTCCTTATCCTCACCAAGTGAAGACCAAGCGCCTCACTACAGTTTCAAGGGCTATTCTAATCTAGCGTGGAGCCTGTCTGCCACTCGTTCGTACCTTTTTACGTTTCTTCTCCCCACTCCCACCCCACACCAGACTCTAAACCCTCAGCCTCAGGGATGTTTCTTCTGCGAGAAATGCTCTCTCAGCCAACCCCCTTTCCTCCCATACACCTTCCTGTCCATCTGGTGTCACCCACAGACCTCTGTTGACCATGTGTCTCACACTTTTCCCTTAGGAGAATTGATCACCCCCTCTTTTGTAGCCCAAAGCAGTGTTTGTCTCTCTGGACTAGGCTATGGGAGCTTCCCTGGGAGGAGGCAACATCATCCGCATCTTTCAACCCTAGTACCCATGCCAGTGCCTAGGGGTGAGTAGGTGCTTTAATCTATCAGTCAATCAGGTCGTAGGTGATAAGGATTCAAGGATGACCAGATCTCTATTTGGTGATGTGGATAATAAAAAAAGAAGAAGAAAAGGTAAAAGTCATATTACAACAATAATAGAGAAGCCACGTGAATAAGGAAATACCCCTTCCTTTAAAGAGTTTGCAACAGCGTGGGAGGCAGCCATCAAAGCACCCACAAGCAGGCAGCACACATGGTGCCCAGCCTTCAGCCACATGTACCGT